AATTCCTATTTCACAGATGGATGAAATTGACTCTAAAAAGGATGGATGAACACTTGACTTCATTTCTTTGTCTTTTATTTTGCTCTCGGCTTCAGCTTTTTACAAATGTCCTATTTCTAACCTAGCACCATGTTACAACAATCAACTGAACATCAACTTTGAGAAGATAAAAAGATATTTTGTAATGGCAGTTTACTTGTGTGTCCTTTGATGGCTATCAAGTTCTTCAAGCGATGAAAAAACCCTGTTGCAAACTCTACACAGACATGGCAYTGAGTTGGAATGAGAGTGRCAATGAGCAGAATAACTTGCCCTTGTCTTAAAGTCCTGGTTACATACTGAACAAKTAAAACCAATTTGACTGGTTTCGTGAGTTTTCACATGTTCCTGATGATCTCCTTTAGTTGTTTCCTTGTTGTGTACTTGACTGTGTAGCTTGAGGTGRCCTTGAGTTKTAAATGTTTTACCACATTTCAAGCATTTTGGGCGTTTTTTCTTGCTCTGAGATACCAACATGGAAGGTTTACTYRCTGCATTTCTTGAAACCTGCTTTCTTTTCAGCTTTAAATGACTTGTCTCTGCTTTGTTGGAAGATTTGTCACTTGTTTTAAGGTGACTGCTTATTGATGCCTTAGCATTAAGTGCTTTTTTACTGCTACTGACRGCTGATATATCATTAGCTGGTGATTTRYTGCTTGATGTGGAATTATTTAATGGTTGGCGATGGCTTCTTTGATGCATAAKAAGAGMAAAYCTTGTCCAGAAGTTTCTGTCACACATTGAACACTTGACAGCTGACTTYCTCTTRTGCTTTGCAAGTACATGCTTACGAAGGTACTGTTCACCCTTGAAAGACCTGTCGCAGTGAGAACACTTGATCATGAACGTGGATTCTTCATGACCTGCAGCATGTGTGTCAYGATCCAACTCATTTTCAAAGCCTTTGTTACACTTGCTACATTGAAATGGCTTCCTCCTGCTGTGCATTCTGACATGYAGGCTGTGCTCAAGTCTTGARGTGAAAGTCTTTTCACACTGGGAGCATTGTAGRTGTTCTTTMCTGGCAGGTTTTTTGTCTAAGTCAAAAGAGGTATGATATTAAAAGCAATGATACTAACAAGTGCAAAGAATAAGATTCAAGAAGGGAAGAGAAAGGGGAAAAGACAGAGAGGGAAAAGAGAAGGAAAGAAKAGAAAAAGAATGGAAAGACAGAAAGTAGGAAGAAGTGTGAAATGATGCAAGGAAGGTATTATCAGAGTGTAGGAAAATAGGATAGAAAAGTGAAGAACAAAGGATGGGAGGAAAAAAGGGATGGACCAGGAAAGGGAGGATATAATTAGCAAAGGATGACAGGAAAGACAAGAGGGGGATAAAACAGAAGAAACGTTTTCAAGAAATGAAATAAAATTGAAAATAAAAGAATGCAAGAGGAGAAGTCAAGATTTATAACTAAGTTCTCGTGTTACCTCTTTCATCCTGTGAAGAATCACTTATCTCATGTCTGGTTGAATGTTTGGCCAGTTGAGCTGCAGTTTGGAAGTTTTGCTTACAAACAATACACATGTACGGCTTGTCACGATGAAGCACTTTGTGTACAACAAGACGTTTCTTTGAGCGAAATGTCTTGTCACACACTGGGCATGTATACGTGCCTTCRTTATTATGGGTCCTTAAGTGTGCATCTAGTTGAGCCAAACGTAGAAATTCCTCTCCGCAGTACTTGCAACTTACTGGCTCMGTTCCCTCATGACTTCTAAGATGGGTCTTGTAACTTGTCAGTCGAAAAAACTCCTTCCCACATTCCATACACTTAAAATTGTTATGATTATYACYGTTGCTGTGGGTTTTGGAATGATCTTGGAGTCTACTTGAAGTAGGAAACCCCTTGTCACAGATGGTACATGTATAMGTCTTCTCTCTGTGGGAAATATTGTGTCTAAATAAGCCCTTCTTTGTCAGGAATTTCTTCAGACAAATACRACATTCATGGGACCCTTCGTGGTTGTGAGACCTCATATGTATATCCAGACTATTCAAAGAAGAGAACTGTTCGCCACAGAGCTTGCAAATCACTGGTTCAGAAGCTTGGTGTATTCTAATGTGTGCTTTGTAACTTGATATTCTCGAAAATTCCTTGCCGCATGTTTCACACTTAACATTTTTTGAGTCACCTTCTCTGTGTGTCCGCCCATGAGCAGCAAGTCTTGATGCTGTTAAAAACGTCTTTTGACAAACGTTGCAGCTGAACTTCTTGGCCTTGTGGAGTGGGAGATGATTATCAAGACGCGAACGTGTAAGAAATACCTGTTGTTAAAAGAAATGAAAGTYAAGCTCAATTCGCACACCGGACACTCATAGTTTCCGTACCTTTTTACAAATAGAACACTTGTGGGACCCCTCCTSGTTATGRCATCTTGTGTGTACATTTAAMAGTCCAACAGAATCGAACACTTGATCACAATGCGGGCATTCTACTTGTTTGTCACTCTTATGGAAGGTCATGTGGGTCTTATARCCCGATATATTATTAAACACTTTSTCACAYTTWGAGCAAGTCAGCTGTTTTGAATTATCTTTAATGTGGATCTTTTTATGCCTAGCAAGATTTTGCGCGCTGTTGAACTTCTTGTTGCACGTTGGACACTCGAGTGTTTTCTCTTTATGGACGGTCTTGTGGGCAGCTAAATGCTCCTTGGTTCTGAACTGTTTATCACAGATAGTACACTTATAATTCCCRTCTCTGTTATGTATCCTTCTATGCGCATCCAACAACGCTAAGGACATAAATACAGCACCACAMTCTTGGCATTCTTCAGGCTCGGGACTTTCGTGTGATCGCAGGTGTGTTTTGTAACTCGAGAGCCTCTTGAAAACTTTTTGGCAGATTTCACACGTGATGGGYTCACCGTCGAGAGTATGGCTACGTTCGTGTCTAGTTAACTCATAGGGKAGCCTGAAAGATTTATTGCAAACTTTGCAYGAGTGAACCTTTTCCTTGTGGACAGACTGATGCCTTGCCAAGCACTCTAAAGTGCGGAATGACTTGTCACATTCATTACAAGTGTGGGACCCGCCGCTGTTATGCACCCTCATATGAATTTGAAGATGGCCTTCCGATATGAACATATCATTACAGAAAGAACATTGGAGAGGCTCTGGACTCTCGTGAAATTTCAAATGGCTTGTATAGCTGGAGAGTTTATCAAACACTTTGTTGCAATGTTCGCAAGAGAATGTCTGCTTCTCTTTTTCATGGATACGCCGATGCCGCGCAAAGTTGGACCGAGCTATTGTAACATTGCAAATGTCACACGTRWACGTATCCTTATGYAGTASTGAATGTCTTCCAAGGCCTTCTGCAGAAAGAAACGTTTTTTCACATACGTCACATTTATRCTCTCCTAGGTCATTGTGCTCTCTCATGTGCAGATTTAACTGACCTACAGATATGAACATCTCTTCACAGTAAGAACAAGTCAAAGGYTCTGGGCTTTCATGAAAACTTATGTGGATTTTATAACCAGAGAAATTCTCAAAGACTTKGTCACACTCCTCACAAGAGTAAGTTTTCTGGTCTTCATGTGMACTTRGATAAACGTCATCACAAAACGTTGGTGGCGAGGCTGATGAGTTRACRTGTATTCGRGMRTGCGTCGAGAGGCCTCTCTTGTTTTCAAAAGTCTTYTYACATATACTRCATGAATGRACCTKTGGCTCATTGATGCTTGCATTATTTTCTGAATGAGTCTTGCTATAATGAATTCCYTTATCTTTTGAAGAGTGGAAGACTTTATCGCACTGATCACAAGGAAAAGTTTCAGAGTCTGAAAACGCCTTTTCRTGACGAATTTTATTAGCCTTGCAAGTAAATTGCTTCCCACACGTACTGCAGCAAGTGGTTTCTTCGTCGTTTTCAACATGACACTTGTTATAATGAATTTCCTTATCTTTCTTAGTGTGGAAAACCTTGTCACAGTGTTCACATGAATATGTCTCGCAGTTTTCAWAGGTTTTCTCATGTCTTATCAGGTTAGCTCGGCAACTAAAAGTTTTTCCACATGTATCACACGTTTTCCTCAATGATTCACGCACTTCACCATGAACTTCTTCAAGATGAGTGTTYTTTTCCTTTTCMGTGTGGAAAACCTTGTCACACTGTTCGCATGAATATATCTCGCAGTTTTCAAAAGCTTTCTCGTGTCTCATCAACAGCGAACGGCCACGAAATGTTTTGCCACATGCGTTACAAGATTTCCTTAATGATTCACGAGCTTCGTCGTGCACCTCTTTAAGATGGACATCTCTTTCTTTCTCAACATGAAAAACTTTGTCACACTTTTCGCATGTGCAAGTCTCGCAGTTTTCAAAAGCTTTCTGGTGACGAAGCAGATGGGAATTACAAATGAATGCTTTACCGCATGTTGAACAAGAGAAAGCTGCATCCTCCGTGTGAATTTTAGCATGTATTTTATAAGGTTTCTTATCTGTAAACACCCTTTCGCAGACATCGCACTTGTATGTYACGCCAGCCTCGGCTTCTTGACGGGCGTGRCTTTTAAGATGGGTTGACAAAGCKCCCGACCTTTTACACACCTTGCCACACAATTCACATTTGTGTACAACCTTTTCTTTTTCGTGACTTTTCATATGTATCTGAAGCTGCTCAACTCTCTTGTATGACTTGTCGCACTTACTGCAAAGATGTGGCCTTTCTTCAGAATGGCTTGTCATGTGGCGCTTAAGATTGCTCTTTAACCGGAAATATTTCTTACAAATTCTGCATTCGTGAGGTTTTTCGCCCGTATGGAGACGTTCATGGTCAATGAGCTGCGATTTCCATTTGAATTCCTTTCCACATGTTGTACATTCCACATCTGATTTTTGTGTGCAAGTCTTCTTGTGYAGGCGTAGTGCTTCGCTGCTGTCAAAGTGTTTGTCACAGCTCATGCACTTCGTTGAATGAACTCGTTTTTGATCATGTATTAGCTTAATATGTTTCTTTAAGTGCGCTTTATTGACAAACKTTCGTTCACACTGTGTACAYTTGAACMCTGCTTCACCGTTATGCAARAGCAAGTGYTTTTCAAGGAAAAATATACTTGAGAATACGCGATGGCAATGCTCGCACGAGTATGTCCCACTGCTGTTTGCTACTGCAGCATTATCTACTCCATTTTCAAGCTCAATTGCACTAACTGAATCCTCATTGCTATTCCACTGTTCTTCATTGGCATCAATATTGTCAGAAACAGCAGCTGATAGCGACAGTGCAGTAGCAACGATATCAGTTTCAGACGTAGATGGTATCGTTACTTGAAGACCGAGATCTGGACCTTGAACATTACTAGCTACACAGGTCTCYGTCACTGAATCACTTGTGCTACCTTGCCCTACACCATTACCAGAAACAGAGGTTTCCATTTCTGATTCACTTGGACCCTCATCATTATCAGAAACAGTGGTCTCAGTCACTGATTCAGTGGTACCACTTGGATCTTGCACATTACCAGATACACTGGTCTCTACCACGGGCAAATCAGTTTCGCCATGAGAACCWTGAATGCTACTATCCATCAAAGACTCACTCATTGCATCAACTGGAAGATTWATATCGTTGGCAACAGTGGACTCGGCCGGTCTTTTAACAGTGYTATCAGAACTTTGAGCGATACTATCCATGGAAGTCACCATAACAGTTTCAYTTGTACCAGATYGACCAGGATTTTCTAAAATTTGATTCTCCTGAAAATATACCAGGAATTAATGTTAGGAATTCAGTGTGTATAGTAGTTTTGGGAGGGGAAAGTTCAATGTATGGGTCATTAATTTCAGTATTTTTAGCAMTTACCTCAGTTTGCTCTGAATTGCAAGTGCTGCTGGTTTCATCATTTTCACCATGAATAGTGCTTTCAGTTGAATTTCCAACATCAATTTGCTTGTTTTTGTAGGTACTTCCRCATTTACCCCTTGCACGCTTCCTCCGTAGTTTATTACARGATTTACTTTTTATATGCTTRGCCAGACCAGACCGCCACATAAATGCTTCACCACAAGTTTGACAAATGTGSCGGTRCTCACCAGTATGAAAAGGAAGGTGYTGTTTAAGCAGCATATTACTACGGAAACCTTTGTCACARTGTGARCATTTGAAAGGTAGCTCACCAGTGTGAACTCGCTCATGGACAATGCACTGGTCCTTTCGTCTGAATTGAATTCCACAATGACTGCAMGYAAACCTCTTAACTGGGCATTTTGATAACCAGTGCGCTCGTAATTCTGTTTTATTGGTGCATTTTACATCACAATATTCACAAGTCTGCTCCTTTTTCTCTAAATTATGAGCTGTTTTCTTATGATAATAAAGATTATGTTTCTTAGGAAACGTTTTCTGGCACTGCTCACATTTGAAGTCTACATTGTGTTGACGCAYGTGGAATTCCAGGAGTTTTGCAYTTGTGTACTGGGATTCACAGTGAGGACACTTGTGACTTGTCTGAGCATGCTCACTTGTGTTACTTTCAGATTGGCTTGCATTTCCTTCATGAATATCTGATGAAGTTTGAATGACAATTATTGGGGAATTGCTCTCATTGCTAWCGGTTAGGTTACTCACTTGAAACACTGATGTCATGAGACCTTGTGATGAYATCACACTTGACAATGCATCTTCATTTAAATACACTGTGGGAATATCACCACCCTCAGTTATAACACCATTTGGGTTCCCTGTGTTAGAATCAAAAACCGCATTTGGGTTCCGTGTGTTTGAATTTGCTGAATCACAATCAGCATTTGGGTTTCCTGTACCACCACCAGCATTTGTATTTTCTGCATTGCTACCCAAGTCTTCAATAGAATCTAAGGCTGTGATTGRGCTTCCTGTGTTATTAGCTGATTCTGCGGCAGCTGCAGCAGCAATGAGGTCTGAAAGGTTAATTCCTTGAATGGGTGAATTTACAGCTTGCTGGATTGAMGAATCATCCATTACTTCAACAGACTCTGAGACTGTTACTTCAGAGTGTGAATAGCTGTGTTCTCCAGTAATTGAATCAAAGTACATCCTACACTATTTCTAGAATAAACATAAAAAATACAATTACCACTAAGGGACACAAAGAAATGTGTACTAACTACTGCTATTAAAAAAGTGTTTGTTATACACCATTAGCCTCCTTCGCAGAGAACTCTTCTCTGTGAGATTCCTGTGTCAAGGCAAAAAAAGCTGTCGGCACCAGTTTTTCTCAGTCAAGATTATGAACACAGGAAGACCAAGAAGAGAAGAAAGTCTGTTTCTGTTGGAATAGCCTGAGAAGGAGGCTAATACAATTATGAGCCAAAGTAAATAGCATGACTTATCAGGGGTTTCAGTTTAAATTTGGAAGTAGGTTCCTATTCTAAAAAAGCAACTATATGTGAATCATAAGAAKCCACAAGTGTTACAACCATAATATGGCAAAAAWTGCTGGCCCAAAGATCAAAATAGACTCCAGATTTTACCAATGGACAGTTTCTAATGCCTTCCTGGAATCCATTTTGAATTATTTATGTTTCACAGATTAAGTAAGTGCACTAAAACAAAAATCAGCAACTTCCTTGTTTGCATAATTTAGGGGAGACAAAAGGCAACTTGAATCTGAAAAATCACGACTTATTGGATGGGAAGTGCAGAAATATATAGTGGATGCTACATATGAAAGCAGAGATACAGAATTTATCTAGCAGTTATGGTTGCTATAAAWCCTATTTTTATTCTAATGATGACTAATATCCCTTGAGTAGATGAGAATTTTACTTGAGGGAAAGGCAAGCTTAATAAGTTTAATCTGGTGATATTCAGACATCATATTGAATTCAGACAGGCAAATTTAAGAAAAACTGATGTTCAATATCTTAAACTACAAAGTGTACTTTGGCTTTCTTGTTTGTATTATAGGATAGAGATATTCGATTTTCAGAAGTAATTAAAATGGATAATTMTCGATATTTTACAAKGCAAGWTCAATAGGAATAATACTGTATCAACTTTACATTATAAACACAACACGAGGCAAACTGAAATATGTGGATGAATGAAGAGTATCAAAACAAAACATTTTCACTAAAAATTAAAGCTCAAACTTTAGCAATGTAAAGATACTAACCTACAATATTCAAAACGTCTTAAATGTTGCAACAAACACGGAGAATTATCGTGGAAAACGTTCACGAAAMCCTCATCAACAWACACGAGATWTYMRRAAWYCMAMMWKGSSGRAMYYWAASCCMRKTYYYCYYYWAAAAAAAATATACAGGGAACCMGTGTCGAAAAGTTAAAGMSACGKAAATTCGAAAAATGTTGTGCATTTCTTCAAAATATTRTCAGAACACAATTTCTTGCATTTKTAAAACTATKTTAGCTCAAATTTAAGATTGCATAAATCAAAGTTGTCCGTCGCAAAGAGACTAGCGTTACATGCGTGACGRCCTGATGTGACGCTCATTAATATGCATATTTCGGTGTYTATTGTCAGCGCGAAATTTAAGCTTGCGACACGAAACCAGGACGCAAAGACGGCTGACAACGTCCGTTTTTAACTTCAAATATGAAAGAAGCACTGGAGAGCACTGMATCTCCAGCGAAAAGACTTTCAAATGAGATTGTAAAACTCGATATTGGGGGGAAAGTTTACAAGACTTCACTACAGACGTTGTCCAAAGATCCTTCATCGATGTTTGCTAGCATGTTTTCTGGACGATTTGATCCTAAAACAACTAAGAAAAGCGACTCGTTTTTTATTGATAGAGACGGGGAATTGTTCAGGTAAAGTTTCTCAAAGTACTTTGACACAGTTATAGCTGCAGATTATTTTGCTAAAAACATACAAACGCACTGTATGGTCCTATATTATAGACCCATTTGAGTCAATCTGATCATAGTTACTACTAACTCTAATGATAACTCTGATCAGAGTCCGAAGTAGAGCCGTTGAAACCTTGTGTAATATCAAGATAAAGCAGTAATGCATGCAGACTCCAATAAGCGCGTAAAAGTGCAACGCAAAACAGACGTAAGACAAGATAAACGTCACAGCGCGAATTAAATCTAAATGTATAATTTCAGGTACATCTTGAACTATTTGCGCAACGGGACGCTTACCTGTCCTGATGACGTCACGACAAGACAAGAACTTTTACAAGAAGCACAGTTTTATCAAATACAAGGACTGATTGATATACTCGAGTTGCCGTATCTGTTTGAAGATAAATCTCATATCATTACACAAAAGGTAAAATCATACAGCAAYCTATGGCGTCATAGTAGTAAATAGTCACGTGACCACCAAGAGACCAAACAAAGGGCGAGGCAGGCCTGTACTGCAATTGCCCACTCCTGATCTTAGCAGCTAAAATTTGTATAAGTCAAAGTCAAATGCCGTATATATTGCAAATGCAACCACTGACATCGTCCTCATATGTAGTGACWTAACTTAGATGCAAACGGTAATTTGKCTTGTACATTGATTTCATATACAACTATAATTATTCATCAGGATCACGAAGCAGTTTTATCAAGTTGGCTTCCCCAGGATTCGAAATGTCAATTATTGTATCGAGCTGGCAGAGATGGGTGGAGATGTACRGATTTTCATCGGCAATGCGATCATAARGGACAAACACTTGTGCTACTGAGAAGCAGAGAYGGGTTTATCAGCGGCGGKTTTACAACTAAGTCATGGGAARCCAGTAAGTTACTTGTGCATTCAWAGAACAGATTGCGCATGAATTGCCCTATTTCATTATGACGTCACAGTATGTTTACATCGGAAAACGATGCTCAAAAACAGTGGAAATTTGGACCCATTTATRTTGTCTAGTTCCAGCGCGCAGGCGCAGTTACGCGCAATTKAGAAATTCTACGAAAACGCACAAGTGCCGCCGACGTCCACGACTATCTGCTAAAATCTTCTATTTGGTTTGYTTCTATRTCAGGTTTTATTGAGAAGACAAAGCCAGACAAAAACTCCTTTCTCTTCACCATAACTAACCCTTCGGCACACAAACCAACAAAGTTTCCGCCMAAGAAAGATCTTCACAATAACCTTGGAGGGATTGTTTGCTCGGACTCCACAGGACCATACTTTGGAACGAAGAGTTACTTTGACCTCAAGACGCTTTCTTGTAATCAGCTCTCAAAGCATATTGGGAACTATGTTGACTTGGGACATGGGTACGAATGTCCATGTGGCTTGCATTCCAGGATGGTGTTGTTTGGGAGCGGAACTTTTGAGCTYTTGGAGCTTGAAGTTTTTAAAGTTTATTTGAAACATTGAGGCATAGGTGACCATTTTATTTATTTTATAAAGATTTTTAGAATTTTAATCGAAGCGTTAAGATCAAACGCAGCATATTGTAGATTCGTTCTTGTTTAAAATTTTATTTCGACATGAAGTAAATGATTCCTTGCATAAGCAAAATTCAGTGGAATGATCACTGGAAATTGTCAATATATGGTCTCCCGCAGAAAAAAATCTGCTTTTTTGGCTCCCGCAATATTTCAAAGGGAGCCCAAAACAAAACTCAGAGAGATTTTTAGGATGACACCACAATTTCGCTCCCAGGCTCTTATTCCTTGACCCAAATAAATGGGTAAGAGCCTGGGAACGAGGTCGATGACATAATCAAGTGACGCAATATCAAGATCATAATCCATAGAATTGAAGTGATACTGATCGTAAAATATCAATTTATAGTGTTTTTTTACAAGATATTTTCATACTTTTAGAGTTTCCAATGAATGTTTTTTTTAAACCATTATGGCTGATTATGTTGGTAAATACTGTTGATCAATATAATGTAAAGTCTTACAATATTTTCATAACATTGAACTGACACCATTGTATGAGTAATGCRATGTTTAGACGTTCGAAAAATAAACGAAAACAAAGAGTCAAAATGATTTTTTTTTCTTGCTACTCTTTTCTGATGTATTGGTAGGTACTGTTGTTTGGTACAGTTGAGAGAAGTCAGTAAGGCTTGAACTACTTTAACGTATAAGATTTGACTAAATGGTTAATTAGCTTTGCCTTTTTACGGTCAAGGGTAAAAATTACTCACAGGACTCGAACCGTGGGAACATTTGGTGTTTGACATGCATTCAGTGTTGACACAGTCAGCGATCAATCCACACACCGTTAAACCGTTAAGGGCCTTTTCGCTTTTACAGCTGTGTGAAGAATAACTAACATCAAATGGAAAGTAGATAGAAAAGTACAAAAGATGATTACTTATTTTCCAATAGTGAATCGACATCTAAGAAAAACAGCTCTCTCATGGCGCGAATCTACAAACGAACCAAGACACTTCTCATGGGTATAGCATCTCTATATTTAATTCTATATTTGTATAAACTATTTTATGCTATCAAGATCGATGGAGATCGTCTACAACTACTCRAAAAGATTGCCCAGAATCCACTTTGTACAGCCCATAATGGCATACTTGAACGTTTAAGGGCGCTATGCAATGATCTCATAGAARTTCGAATGCAGGTYGACAATGACCCAGTTAAGGCGAAGAAGTTTGATAACTACTACGACAACTTGCAAACACTTYTWCGAGAGATTGAATCAATCACAAACAATCCTGCTAGCGAGGAGCATATAAAATCCACCAAACGGGAAACACAAAGTCATGGTGGAGTTTCTACGGTGGTGTGCCCCGAGATCTATCTTGGGACCACATATGGCTATCCTTTTTATACTAGTGGTTTTGAAACCGGTAATTGTTCAAAGAAGGTTCCAATGGAGAAGCTAGTGACTTTAATATTTGATAAAGTACCTGTAGCGATCATGACAGATCAAGGAGAAACAATWGCGGATCAATCTAAATACTTAGAGAATCTCATTCAATTTGTGAGAAAAGTATATCACTATCATCCTACTCTAACAAGTCATTTTCTACTCAATATCACAGACAGTGATTTGTTTGAACTTAAAAGTAAATTTTCAAACAAACAGATAACATTTACCAAACTGGTGATAAACGAACCAAGWGGTCGAGYACTGCAGAATCTAATCACTCAAGTCAAGACCCCGTATGTGTTCATAGCCAATCAGATCACTCATTTTACAGAGAMAATCAACCTTGAGAGATTWATTCGTGTTGTGTCAAGCAAAACCTCGACTGTAATCGCTGGAGCAGGCTCYAGGAATCTCACAGGTCACTGGACGAATAACTGCTATCGTTCTCAGCTAAAGAACTATACTYTGAAATTCAAACKKGGTTATCACCAATCTTTTAATGAGTGCTTGGTTTGTGACCATCTAGGAGGGCCTTTTCTGGCCAAAACATCCATTATAAAGGAATTGAAGTTTGATTCTTCATTGGATAATGGCTTGTACGAAGACTTATTTCTRAGACTTAAGTACCACTATAATAGTTACCATGAAAACAATCTCGATAGGARCACCCATTCTCATGACCCCAACGGTAGGCATAGAAACAATGTTACCCAATTTAATAGTTACTATAGAAACAATGGTTACTATGGAAACGTAGTAGTTGTAAGTTGCCCGGATGTGATGTTTTATGTACAGAAAGAACTTGTCCAAGACGAAGACCTGTTTTCCTTTTCAAATAAACACTCAATAAGAAAGATAGAGGAGCCTGACGGTCGAGTGCGCTGGTATGGTTGCAAGAGAGATATCTTTTATCGTACAGGTGACCGATGTACCCTGAGACATGGACTAGCTGTAGCTCCRTGCTGTCTGGAAAACCTTGGTGATGCCGTCAAGTTTGTGATGGCTGAATGTGAGAGAAGTAATGTTGTATGCGAATTACAGGAAGGGACATTGCTTGGAGCTGTCAAGCTGAACAAAGTTCTCCCGTGGGAGAGAGACGCTGATATTACGTTTTTGACATCTGATTACGAAAAACTGCTCAAAATGAAGGGCGCAATGCAGGAAAGAGGATACTTATGGAGAGAGATCAGTATGTACTATCTAAACTTGCCTTTCAAAAGTATTGCCTGGAAGGAGACTGCAGGCTATTAACTACTTATATCGCATGCCAAATATTTTGCACTCAAAGTTGAATCTTGTACCACCTATATTCTTTAAATTTTTCATTGTAGGTTCTCCACGATGTTGCGTCGACGACCTTATGGCTGGAGGTCAGATAGAGATTCTTGCTGACGGTTGGTCAATACAAATGTACGGGCAACATATGATGGAYTCAGAAAGACTTATCAATCAGGGCATTCGACCGACAAAGGTGTCTTTCTGTGGACAGTGGGTAAATGTCCCAGAAAACCCAGGAAAATATATTAGAAACAGGTTAGTACTAGTACTACTAATAATGGGCTCCTGACATCTGCCATCTTGATTTCTGGTGCTTTTATAAATACCATGATGCACTGCGCAAACAAATGGAAAATGTGGATTTTTTACCTATAGGTATGGGTGGAATATATATCGACATGCTGAACATTGGATTGCTACTGGTGCTGAATCTGGTTGGATRACGTACAACACWAATGGATTTATAACCTGCCCYGTTAAAGGTTATCATGGCTGCCTTGATCAGTATGAAGCTGATGGATCAGTTCAGTTTGAAAATTTATTTTAGTTAATAACTAGTCATTATTTAAATGAAGAGATGATTAAACGAGTACTGATCTTAAAGCTAAAAATGTTTCAATTCAGTACGTAATAAAAGACGTACAACTGTATTTCATTGAAAAATAATGAAAGTTGTTCCTATTAAAGTCCTTTGAGGTCTTGTCAAATTAACTGAAAGCCAGTCTACGATAAAGATCTTTAGAGTTGTAACTTATAAATGAAATAACAGGAGGCAAAGAAAAACTGCTAAACTTCATWTTCTAAATCTTACCTAGTACATTGTCATGGACTTTTCTTGAGGAATTTCTTTGATCTTTCTCGTGAAGACGACGTGAGATCGAAAGATGTTCTTTGAAAGAACCAATCCAMGTTTTGTACATTAGCTCTCGATCAGTTCAGCTCTCTGAGTAGGTTCCGATTTTGATCCGCCTCTTTGGAATCAAGGAATGTCATTTGTTCTGAGCTCTATACTGACTGTAAGTTAGATACAACTTCTGAAGTACACTGTTCGACTTGAAGTCAACAGCGACTATGACGGTGTGTGCGCGAGTTGCGCCTTATTTATAGCTGACCGGACGAACGCGCGCTGGTTGCGTTTCCCTAAGCCAATCAAATTTCTTCAAAAAGGCGCGCGTTTTCATAACCAAGGCAACAGAAATAAACAAAAATMAACAATACAATATGCGCGCGCCAGAGTGAAGYGAAAAACAARCAATATTTGAAACTCMYGAAGAAGYAAGCCATTTTATTAAATTTCTGMGTTGGTTCAGACCTCAAGATGTTTCTATTTTTTCTGGAGTAAAATATCAGCTAAAAGTAACATTTTTCGTATATTTTCACGCATTCAAAGTGGGTTTCCTGTCTCTTACCCAGAATACACCTCGAGCAAAATTTGGTTCTCTTGTTACCAGGCAACACTTGGCGCCATATTTGTTTYYACAAGMGAGRAAMYWAARRWTTTWMMAAWTTTSGCATCTAAAATGGCCACAACAGTTATTTCTGTTCAACTACCTCCCGATATCGATCCAACAAAGGCTAGACTGGCTTATGGAGACCGAGCTTTGCCAAAATTGGTGAGTTTATATAACACAAAATCAAATCTGTACTCCAAATTCTAGGACACTAAACTTGTTGTTCGAAAAATTAGGCTTAAAATTACAGCTGATATTTCTTTGTTTAGAATCGAGAGCTGAATAGCGACGATCTTAAATTAAAGCAAAAGGCACTGATGACATTATGTGATGTGATGCATAACCCAGAGCACATATGCGAAGGGTTGAGAGTTGGTAAGCAAAGAAATGCATTTCTTGTCGAAACATGCATCTTTGAATTGGGAAAAAAATAGGGGCTGACCTCCCTCACGAGAATGTAAAAGCTGTCGAACWAGGCCCATGTTGTTCAGCTAAAACTAAAACTTTTGCTAGTTTTGTTGATCAAATTTAATATTTAAGTTTTTTTGTTATTGTTGATAAATTATACTTTGCTCTTGAATATCTCAAGGTATTGCTACAAGCTTGAAGTCTTTACTAAAAGATCCAGATCCTACAGTCAGGCACAAATCTACAGAAGTTCTCTTTATCATTGCAGGTATTTGATTCAATTCTAAAGACAGTCTTTTATGTTGATAATCTGATATTTTGACATTATCAAAATGTTTACAGTACAGTTATTAATATTTTTAACAATTATTAATGATATTAAATGTATTTTTTCACAGGGCATGCTCCAGGAAGAGATGCATTCCTTGACCATAATATAATCTTACCATTATCTGAATTGGTAAAGTTACTTAATTATGCTCGTTATATTTAGCTTTTTCACGAAACTTCGCCCACAAATGCTAGCAGTAGCAAGTGCATATTTTTGCCTCCGGGTTTTATTTTTAAGTAAAGATAACTTCTGTTCATTTAGTTTGATGACAATGTTTACCAAGCAAGGAGAAATGCTCATAAAGCAATTGAAATGTGTTCTCACACAAGCCCAGGAACAGATGGTGTTGTAGAGGCCAAATTAGTATCAGTATTGGTGAAAAAATTGCTTGGTGAAGAAGATGAAATCAAGGTAGAGACAGCTGATTCCCTTGTTGTGATCACATCCTTGTGGAATTAATTTTAGAATTACAGTCTTCTTTGTGGTTTCCATTGTAGTGCCTTTGTATCAAAGTGAGACATCCAGTAAGCTTGTAATGACAGATAACTGTTAATTTTTTTTCTCATTCTGTCTATCATTGTATATACCAGTCACTCTTTGGTGCAAAGGCAATGTTTCCCTTAATATGGCTAAGTTGTCCTCAGAGAATGCCATTCTAACTGAATTGGTTTATTTATTATGATAGGAATTGATTTTGGACACACTTCATTATTGCATGAGAATAGAAACATCCGAAGCACTGACTAGCAATGCAATGGAAGCTTTTACTCAGCTACTGGGGCACAAATCTGCCACAATACGATGCAAGGCAGCAAGAGATATTATGGATCTTAGGTAGGGAAGATTATTATTGATAGCTACAGAAAGTTGTGGTACTTAGTGGATGTTTTTTATCATTTTTTGTGGTGTAAAATTCATCTTTTATTAATTAATCAACCTGTTTCATTAAAAACAAAAAATACACAGCTTAAAGAAGTTTAACAATACTAATTTCTTCTTGACAATATTGTAATTACTCTTGATAAAGATGTAAATAATCATGATTTTTTTTAGTTTTCCTCTGGAAGGTAAAGACAGAGCAGTAGATGTTGGTGCAGTACCCGAGTTAGTCAAACTCCTTCAAGATTGTGAGACTGATGTTCGAGCGCAAGCAGCTGGTGCCATTATGGGGTGAGCACAGTCGTGGATCCATGGGGGTTTACGGGCACCCCTTAATACCCCAGCACACACACATATCAACTGTATTGATGTTTTTGATTTGGTTAATGACTTTCATTTTCATTTATATTTCAGTATTACAATAACGACAAAAGGCAAATATGCAGCCATAGAAGCTGATGCTATTCCAAATCTTGTAGAATTGTTACTTGATCGTACAAGTGAAGTGAGACTAAATGCTTTAAAGGTAAATCTAGTTCATACTGACATGCAATAAGGGGTATAGAATGGTGTCTCAGAAATTGTGAGGCTCGACAAAATTTCCCAAGGCTTGCAAGCTTGGCACTTAAAAGAAAGGAGCTCAGATTTAAAATCGATTTTGGCTCAGAAGCTCACAATTGCTGAAATATCAAACTTGGGCTCGGATTTTAAAATGAGGGCCTTGCAGGCTCTCGCATACCCCTGCAACACTGTCTGATGCATACTATGAAGCCTGACAGAGATTGAGATCAACTCAACAAGTATATGATAGTTTCTTGTGGTATGTCCTCTTATTTAACTTACTATTCCAAAAACTAAACCAAGTTGTATTTCYATTACAAAGGCCATCACCACACTCGCAGAAGCACCTGTGGGAAGAACTACTCTACTCAAATCAGTAATAGAGGTATATACATGAACAACCCTGAATTTATAATAATTGGATTTTTGGACTATCCTAATTGCATACAGTTTTAAGACTAACTGACACATAATGACTTTTCATAATGAGCCGTTTTCATAAATTTTTATCAAATATTCAGGAGTATTCCCTATTATAAGTCAGGTGATTAAAGTTTCTTCATTTATGTGTTTGTTTATTGAAAGAAAAACATTTTGAAAATATAGTTGAAACACCCTCTATTAGAATGTTTCAATGTTTGGTCAAGAAGACTTCTAATAAATTAATTAACATTAACTTTTTTCAATTTTTCAGGTTGAGAAACTTGTCCATGACCATGATAGTCCTGCTGTCCGCAAAGCTGCGCAAATTGCAGTCAAAGTAATAACATGGAAGCCATGACAACCATGTTGTCATAGAAACGCACATTTCTTTTATATTAGAATTTCTTCCTCCGAATTAGTATCATAATATGTACAGAAGTGTGATGTATCAATGAATGTATATAGTAACATAAAATTGTAAAAGAAAACTAATGTTGTATACTGGTCTGAATTTTTTTTTTTTTTAATCTGCCTGACTTCATGGTTCTGTTATTTTCATGTACTAAATCACTCAAACACCCAACCAACATGCGAGAATTAACATGTGTTAAAACAAAAGAAAAAAACATATAGTAAATATTTTCAATAAAAATTTGAGAAGTCATTTTACACTTTATCATTGATGCTATGAAGTTTAATATTAATAAATCAATAATATACCACGCATGTCAAAATGCTTGTTGGGAGCTCTTTAAAAAATAATGTAAACCCTAAAATAAACTTAAATAATTACATAATTTTTTAGAGTATTCCAGAAAGTTTCACAAAGCATGAAAGTTCYCCTTTGGTTTATAAAGTACAATAGTCTCCTTCACGGTTMSCTGCGCCATCTTGAAAGGTAGCCGTGCCTTTGCATCGAAGCAAAACGACCATTGAGCATGCAACGATAGAAACCTTTTTTTACACCTACAGACAATTATTCACAGGTATCTATCATTGCATGCTCAACGGTTGTCTCGCTTCGATGTAAAAGCACAGCTACCTTTCAAGATAGCGCAAGTAACCGTGAAGGAGACTATTAAATTACAAATTCAATGACAATCATTTTAAGTAAGTTTTTATGGTCAGTTACTCGCTAGGCAAAGAAACATTTCTTGTTCTTTGTACGTTGCCTTAAGTACTGTTTCTTAAAAAAATGGTTTTCTGGAATAAAATTTAACAACAACTGCATTCTCAAATATAAATTATTTATAATATATCTTTTATCATTCACTGTCGCTGTCCTCTGCTAGGTCCTGGACATAAAGAGTAATTGAGGAACATATTCCAACACTTTCCAACGTATCRTCTGGATTAATAAGTTCGTAAACTTTTTTAGGGAATGGTGAACTAAGTCTGAATTCTACAGGAGCCTCTTCACAGCAAAACACAAAATCATACAAAGTCTGGAAACAAAAAAAAGCAATAATAACTATTAGAGTCCTTTGACTTCACTTTGATTCTCATTGGGTTCCCTGTGTATAAGATTGGGAGAGCAGGGAATGGAAGCCACTACAAACAAAGCTTTAAGAAGAAGAATAAATGAGTAACAAGATTTGTATGTCGAATGAGACTAGTAAATACTTAATTGAACTATACCTGAAGAGTATGTGATTTAAAAAAATATCTTTCTAATCTTGTGCCATTTGCAAGCCGCACCAGAACACGAAATACCCCAGGYGATCCTGGATCAGGTTCCTCTGGTAATTGTTCTTTCTTTTGTACTCTTAACCGTGCTATAGACTGAAAGAAAAAAACATTGTTAAACTTTGATCAATTGCATACCAGCAGCTTTAACTTGAACACCTCTTCTGGTAACTAAACATTGACCGTGTTGCTTCCACGCTTGCACATGTTGTACCACACAGACGTCAAACGTTTTTGGATTCTATTCAGATACTGAAGCGCCTTATTTTTTGTTTTATTTTTTTTCTGCACAAACCTCTTGTTTGTTCTTTATAGCTTCTTGTTTTTGTCTTTTGGCATCTTCTTCTTGCTTTTTCTTTTCTTGTTCTTCTCTTTTTCGTCTCTCCTAGAAAATAAAACAAGGTAACATCAGAAAATAAGGACAACCAGTAGAAAGGGATGGGAGATAAAAGAATGCACAAATATGAGAGTGCAGAAGACCATTTGTGGCATATGTGAACATAGCTCCATCTGGGGGGCAAAACAATGGATTCTAGTTCCTCAAGAGATCTTAAGTCTTTTGTTTTGCCCCCCAGATGAAACTGCTATGGTAACACATGTATAGGGGTTCTAGTGCTTGATTTAARACCTTTTCTTTGTCTGCAAGTAGTGACTGTTGGTATGCTAAATCTTGCTCATCCCTCAGTGTCTGAGTTTGACTTCTTTCTTGCCTAATAATCAATAAACATAAAAGCTATATAAAACACTTTAGGGAGGATGGATTGTAATAAGGAAGGTTAAAGGATGAAATATCTCATACCTGTCTACCCTTGCGGCAACAAGACTTGGTTCATTATCTGCAATAAGCTGTGACAATATTGATACATATCGATCAACTGGCAAAATTCCTAAGAAAAGAAAATAGAAAGAACCATTATAACTTACTATTCTTTGTAATTATAAAAAATGCAGTAATCTACTAACCTTGCATCCGTCCAACCACTGCCATTCTATTATCTCTTAAACAGATGAGAGCAAGAAAAGGATATGTTGTTTCACGTAGGGCTTTAGACACTGAAAGTCAACACAAAGAGAACTGATGARATGAATTATCATCCACCATAATAATCCATTTTTTCGAATCCAAAGCAAATAACCGCAGCTGTTATATCTTACAGCAGAATCTCTTATGTAAAGAACTTACCAAACACATAAGAAAGCATGAGAAAATGTTGTAAGTACAATAGCCCTAACAATTTACATTTTCCCTGAGTTGAGGCTAACCCTGTATTCCCAGAAGACTTAAACCTTAGTCCTTTTTGGAATACCACAGGGTAAGTCTCAACTCATAGAAAATGCAATTTTTGCAAGGCTATTGTAATAACAACATTCTCTTGTGCTCTATTTTGTGTAAGAGAAGCTGCTATCAAATAAAGTAGCAGTTGTTTGCTTTTAATTAAAAAATAGATTATTTGTCATTTGTACAAGCAAAAAGAACTCTGTATTGAAAATACCTCTATAWCCTTCAGCTGAATTCACATCACATGCCCAGAACAGCATATTACCATTAACATACTCTTTAAAACCAGAATTCGMCATTGTGGAACTAAAAAGTAACCAACCATATATCCATAAAAAAGGAGAGAAATAGTTGGTTATTACACCGTATTGCAAAAGCAAAAAAGAAGACCTAAACTTTAGAGATTTTAGGATGCACTAAGGCAACATGCATTCACTAACCTACAAAATTCAGAGGTATCTTGATGTTCTTCAGAGTGAAGATATACTAGAAGAAACCTTAATTCCTTTTTAGCATCACTAAGAGCCTAAAATTAACAAACAACTATAATCATTGAGAGAGTAATATGAAAAATAATATGAGAGGAAATGCCGTGTCTGCTTCATCAAATTTCCTGTCTAGTCATTTATTTATTCATTTTGCCATCCATCTGTTTATTCATCCTTCTATTCAGTCAATCAACCATTTATACCTCCATCCTATCCTCCCTCCTTCCCTCCCTCCTTCCTTCCTTCTTTCTCTCCTTCCCTCCCTTCCTCATTCCATTCATCCCTCCTTCACTCCCTCCCTCCCTCCCTTGTTCCAACCCTCCCTCCTTCCATCCATCCATACAGTATAATCCACTAGCAAGTTTTCACCTAGTCTCCTCGCAGCCGTGTTTACTTACTGTCATGCCTAACGCAACCTTCTCACACACAAGGTTGCGTTATGGGTGACCRAAACTAAACACGGCTGCAAGGAGACTAGTTTTCCCCAGATGATAACCATACCTGGCTATAAGTGCCTTGATAAAAGGTGGGGTGAACACATCCATAYTTTGACTCAAAATATTCTTTGAACATTAACACATCTTCTAGAGCTGTTCTACGTGCTAAAGTAAGAAAATATCACAATAAAATGCATTACTTATCATGGAAAATAATCAATATATTAAATAACAAATAAGTATACTCACGGTGGAAGAATGAAGGCCAAACCATTCGCACTAAAGGAAACAACTTAATTTTTGATCAAATTATATGAATAAAGTAATAAGTCTTCATAATATTCTTATCTTAATGCATTCAGATGTGCTGTTAAAAAAATCAGTTTTCACTTAATTATATTGAGATTTAGCCTGTGTACATACGTTTCTCACCCCTCCAAAAAAATCGGGGAGAGAACGTCTGTGATTTGCCGTTGCTAATCGTGTTCTGAGGTCCTCAAGATTTGRARGACGAATTTCATTGGCCGTTGACTTATGAGACTTGTGATTGGCCAAAATCAATAGATGGCGTGTAAAGTTGGTCGGACGAGTGAAATATAAGCTGTCAACCAATGGAACATGTAGAATGCCTCAAATTGAATATGTTATTTGCTCTCAAATTCTCTGTAAAAGTTTAGGCTTTAATCTTATATTCGGTCAGGGTAAATTTAAAATTGATGTGGAATTATAATGTCATTAGAATTCGCCGCCAATCTTCACGAACAAAACTTGCATTTGTCAGAAGTGCTAAAGAAGAGAAGGGGGCTTAGTAGTTTGTATTCTACATCTCATAATAGCCTGCGAAAGCGCCAAAGTTACAGCTTCAAAACTGCCGAGGACAACGTAATCTTCACAAGAAGATATTAGTACGGTTGATGGAAGTCATTGTATGACGCAAATTACAGGAAAACCACATTCTGACGAGACACCTCTACCAAAGATAGAGAGAGCACGGCATGGACCAATGGGCAGAGACAATAATGTAAACCACGGTCGAAGTTAGAATTGAATGGCTGAAACAAAAACAAAATCTCTTGGCATTATGTTCGAATTATTTTGCGGAACGGTCCAGTGTTTACTTGACCTTTTAACGTGCCTGCTCAAGCTCTAACATGCATGTCACATTATATATGCAAATTTATGTCAGAACAAGATTAGCAACGGCAAATCACAGGCATTCTCTCCCCAATTTTTTTGGATGGGTGAGAAACGGATGTACACAGGCTAATTGAGATTTAAAAGAAAGAAAAATGGAGACAAATTGTTAAAGCATCCAAAATCATTATCGATGATAAATTGATGATTACCAGATACTAATTAGAGATAATATGGCTTGTCAATAATTTCTTCCTTTAAAGCCACAAGGAACATTTTATAAAACAGCTTCTTGGGTCTTGGCTATTGTAGTTTAGGGCAAAGTTGTTGCAGAAGCAGCATATAGCTTACACAGCCACTTCTTCTTGTGTTTATCGCATACACTAAATTACTTCCTAAAGGTAAGTCTCTGTTGTATAATAATAATAATGGAAACCACATACCTACAAATCTAAAAATATCAACCACAACACTTGAAGAAAACTTGAAAGGGAACAAYAACAGTGACATCATCCATCCGAAAAATCCCTGTTAAATTAAATAAAATAGACTGATTAATTAGAAAATATAKAGGAAATGATAGGACTATTCTGGYAGATGCAGCACTGGCAAGTSCAATGTAACAAAGAGGTGTGGTTMGCTCAAGAAAAAATATTGAATAGATAGATTTAGGGCTGCRTAAAATGAAATTYCTTTYASATAAAYGCTGCTTTAGGCCTTTTTTCTAATYTTGATTTCTATATTTTTGAACACTAAAAAGGAGGTTGCTAACTGCCCTAATCTCCCCTCCCACCTGCAGGKCTCGAAATAATGGCCAGTCAAAGGACAATGTCCTTCCAAATTCGCTAGATGGCTGGCCAAATCTGGTTTTGAAAGGACAAATTGACCTGCCACATTTTTAGACAAATCAATTCTCAATTTGCTAAATAAATCTTTWACAAGCCATTAAAATGCTTGCYGATCTTTCTRAATACAAAAACTTATAAATTAAAAWAAATAATAGTTTATTACTAAAGTTTTTTGTCCTTTCAAAACTTGACATGACCTTCCACAAATGAATTTGGAAGGACATCTTGTTCTTCATATGTCTGGCCATTATTTCCAGCACTGCACCTGGATCCACCTTTGAGATGCATATTTATATCTGGCTATTGGCTTTTTACCTGGTTATGTACAACAATTGCACTTTCCTGAGTAGCAGTTGCCTCTGGTAACGTATTACTAATTACACCATTGTCAGTGACATTGTCCTCTTCATCTTGTGAGCTACTTTGATCATCTCCTTCAAGCGGTTCATGGTGAAAAACTGTTGCAGCTCCTTCTGCCTTATTGAATGTATCTTGAACTGCAGTCTACATGTGTTTTGGAATGGARATAATTATAAAATTTTAGCTTCAAATGAAAAGGCCATTAAATGGAACTGGTATTAAAATCTAATTACAACAAATAGGTTTTAAAGTTGATAACGTGTTAAGTACAAGGACTAAAATAAGTAATTAAAAAAAATTGCAATGGAGTTGGTTTATCAACAATGTTATATATAAAAAGACTTATAAGTTATAGGTATAACTATGTCTAGTTGATACCAAAATATAAACACTCAAACTTAAACTGGCAGCTCAATGCTAAAGTAAACAAGTAAACTTGTTGAGTCACTTTCAATAAGTATTTTTTAATGTCACATAAGACTTTGTTAGTACTAAGCCATATGTCAGAGGTAGCCARCATGCTAAATTAAAATTGAAATTGAAATTTAGCAGGCATTGACATTTAGAGCTGGACACTTTCTATGAATATATCATGACAAAATATTAAGACTTCCTTGTTAAAGTGCAAATTCCTTTTATTTTCTTGACTTGTGACCACTCCTAATTCTAAAGAACTTGCTTGATGAGATGTACTCAAATATACAAATTGAAAATATTTCTGTTGATGAATATTTTAGGTAATTTTTCTCCATTATTTGACATTTGTGCTACATTTCAAGCGCTTTTGAATGAAATGCTTGGGCTACCTGTGTGGAATTTTTTTTAATACATATTTATTTTCACACAGTAAATAAAACATGCTTGTAACAGCTGATGAAATGCTAACTATCRACAAAAACGTAACGTTAAGTTTTATAAGAAAATAGGATGTAAACTTATACAAAATTTATAGCTTAAGCTTAATTAGGTTTATAATTCAACGATTTTATTTATGTTTTCAGCTATTACGGAATRAAGTATAAAACAAAGTTAATTAAACTAATAAAAGACACAATTTTTCTCTAAATTATTAAAGTATGAAGTACAAAGTTCACCTCGATATCCCATTGATGACGTTCAAGGATTTGTCTACATTCATCGACGTCGTCTATTGCGGTAATATCCTTGAAGAATATAGCATAAAAAACAATTAAATTAACACTCAGATAATCAAAATAGATCAAAGATAGATTTTAGTGACTTTATAAACTTTTCACACCTGAAAATGAGCTATAATTTGAAGTTGTTCTTCAGTAAAGTCGCTTCCTTCTTCGGAGGCCGCCATCTTTGAAAGAACTGTGTCAGTAAACGGTCAGGTATGGACAYGAGAGCCTGGGCAAGAACACACAAAAAAGCGGCTGAAAAAAAGGGGCCTGGCGAGGGCACTCTTCGCAAGATTTTTCGATATTTCTATCGCTTTTTTGACATTTTTTCTTTTACGTTTAAGGACTAATCTATTGCATTTCAAAGCCCACAGAAGCAAATTTTACTATTTAGTTCTAATTAGAAAAAAATTAGCCGTGAGGCGTGAAAAAGCCAAGATTTTTAGTCTTGACTCGTGATGCGGATCCCCCATTGAGACCCTCTAATAACGTTATAAAAGTTCTTTCCTTACTTAGATACTATTTTTCGGATTTTTCTTGTACACTTTAAAACTCCCGCTCAATTTGTGCATCAAAGACCTTAATTGAGCGGGAGCCGAGCGTAACGCTAAAAGTGTGACAAGAAAACAAAGATGCCCGAAATAGATCGTTATAATATGAATCGAAATCATTTTTTTTTTTAGATTGCTAATAAAGTTATAAAAGGTCTTTCCTCACTTTAAAAAGTTAGATACTATTTTTGGGATTTTTCTTGTACATTTTAAAACTCCCGCTCATTTAGGGCGGGAGCGGGAGCCGAGTGTCACGCTAAGTGTGACGAAACCAAAGATGCCCGAAAGAGAACGTTATAGTATGAATCGACATCTTGAACATTTTAAAACTTCTGCTCAATTTGTACATCAAAGACCTTAATTAAGCGGGAGCCGAGTATCACGCTAAGTGTGTCAAGAAACCAAAGATGACCGAAATAGAACGTTATAATATGAATCGACATTTTTTTTAGATTGCTAATAAAGTTATAAAAGGTCTTTTCTCACTTAGATACTATTTTGGGGATTTTTCTTGTACATTTTAAAACTCCCGCTCATTTAGTGCATAAAAGACAATTGAGCGGGAGCCGAGCGAAACGCTAAGTGTGACAAGAAAACAAAGGTGCTCGCAATAGAACGTTGTAATATGAATCGACCCCTTTTTGGGATTGCTAATAAGAGGGTCTCAATGGGGTTAACCGTGAGCCATGAAACGGCTGAAAAATTAGCCGTCAAAATGAGAAGAAAACTAATTAGCCGTTAGGCGTGAAAAAGCCAAATTTTTAGCCATAAGCTTCGAATACACTATCTTCAGTATACAACGTTTCCTGAATTATCTGTATACGCTGCAAGGAGCTGAAAACATCACGTGGCGATCAACCATTACGTTGCCTATGAAAATTAATTATACACAACAGGCGACGATTAGATATCAGATATCTACAAGTGTCTTCATAGTACGATGGTCTAAGAGGGTAGCTAAAGGTATGCTCTAGTGGGCGGCTACCCCCTCACTCCCTGGCCTTTTGGTTAAGACTAAGTTTTATGTTCACTCGGGATAGCGTGGAAGAGCCGAAATCTCTAACCGTAACGTAAGCCGATTCGACGCCTCAGCTTCATAGAATGTCTCGGGGGAATCGTCCCATCTTTTTAG